CATTTAAGATGTAGGTGTTCTCATCATGTATATCATAATTTTCCCATATACAGATATACCCAGAGAGCCATCACAGTTTGCCCTTTCAGAGAGAGAGGGGATGGGGAAAAAGTTTTTGTTAATGAGAAATATAAGATCTTTAGCTCCACCCCCCCAAAAATATTCCTAATAGATAAAGTCTGGAGATGAAAGCTAAGATGACCAAACAGACTTCCTGACAGTGCACCATTAAATTCACTCCAAGACAAAAGGATAAAGAGAGAAATTACCATTTTATAGGTAAGGAAACAATATTGCTAATATATAAGGAACTGTGTATATTGGAATTTGCATGGAAGTTATTGAAAAAACTGATAATCCATATTGCTGTATTCTCACCTAGACCACTGTAAAGCTTTTGCATCATCCTCCCTGCTCCATTTCTTCCTCATTCTAAGCAAATGATTTTTCTGAGATTGTGCATTTTCATTGTGTTTTAGAAATTTCTTTTACTGGTAAGTGGGGGGGGAGATAAAGATAATTTTTTATTTTTCTATTTTAAGGATCAATTTATCAGTCAACAGTATGCATGGAGCACTATGTTAAACCTTCGCTGAATCTTATTAATATATTAATTATAATAAAAATTGCACGAATAAAAATTGAAAAATTCACTGAATAAATGCCAGGTATTAAGAACTGAGCATGAATTGTTAACTTTAATCCTCACAACAACTTTATAATGTGGCTACTGTTCTTATCTTGCTCTTTACAGATGAGAAATCTAGGCTTCAGAAATGTTAAATAATATTCTCGAGACCACACAGTTAGTGAGCAAAAAAAACTGGAATTTAAAACTCTGTGTGTGTACAATTTCAACGTCTTTATGTACTAGTCTTATGCCTGAGTCTTTCTTAAAAAAAGCTGGGAATAAAACCAAATAGCTTATAATAAAGTATTCAGTACAAGCACAATAAGCATTTTAAATGGCAAATCCAAAGACGTTTTCTCATTTTACAACTTCCACAATCTCTCTGCCAAGGTATTGCACAATTATCCATGTATACACATTTCTCTTCTCTGAATTTCCAAGACATTGGTCTTTTCTATTTTTTTACATCCTATCTTCTTATTTCTGATAACTCTAAGTTCTTTTGTCCACTGAGCTGACTTCTCTTACTCTAC